GTCAGACTCGAGTGCAGTCACGCCTCCGCCCTCGACCTTGAAAAGACCACCAGTGAAAGAGCCAGTAAATCATCTAGAGGGTGGCTTGAAAATTCACAAAATGGTCCATGTTCCTCCCAGTAACAAGAAGAATGGTGCCCTGAGAAAGTGTCGCGTGAGTGATAAGCACAAGATTAGAAAAGAAACAAGTATCATGTGTGCAGGCTGTGGTGTGGCTCTCTGCACACTTTCATGTTTCAATTTTTATCACACGAAGAAAAACTAATAAAGAGGTATGGAAAGGCATTTATTGCATAAAATATTGTATTTTAATTAGTTCCTGAAAATTTCGTTTTTAAAAACCAATTTGTGTTGAAGTTGTTTAGGAAAAAGTAACTACATGCATTTTAGCGACATAAGGTTTAAAGGGCCTGCCAGGACAGGGGTGGGATTTAAATACCCTTCGCGCCAGTCAAGGAGTTAAAAAATAAGAACAGTAGACAAATGCTTGTTAAACTGTAACTGTGAGAATGAGCTTATTAATCATGTAACTAATGTGAGGTGCAGGGATGGCGGCACTAGTTTTATCGCACTAACTCTGCCACTTAGTAGCAGTTCAGACTGCTCTTGAATTGCATCGTAGATCTGAACCCTTTTGTGAATGATTTGTTGATCTAAACACTTAACAGGAAATCTTTTGAATGTTAGCAGGCGGAAAAGGGAAAATTCCTATGATATAGACAACATTGTCATCCCATACAGCATTGCTGCTTCTACAAGAGTTGAGAAGTTGCAGTACAAGGAAATTCCTACACCGAAGTAAGTTTCCTGTTTGGTGCTAGAAAATGGCATGATGAAATCGGCAGTAAACTGAAAATATTAATACATGAATCCTATTTAACAGCGGACAATGTGTTTCATATATGTTTAGGCTGCTATGTGGTTGCTGTTCAGAGAAAACTACAAGACCCGCTTCACTAATTAAGGAAATATGAGGAGGGAGTGCACCTGTAATTGATTCTAAATGTTGCTTTAACCCTTCCACTGTGGAGTAAATAAAGCCTAAAGTAATCCCGCAATGTTGAATAGGCTGAATAGTACATCTGTGCTACATTTTACTCTGTATGATGGTTTTGGTTGTTGTAGATGTATTTGCTGACCCTCAGATATACAAGATCAGATGACATGTAGAGCAGGGTATTTCTTTTGCTAGACTAAGTAGTTCCTAATTTTCATACAGGTGACTTGCAGACATAGCATAAGGCCTGCCTTGTCATTAATTATGTTTGTTATACGTGGATGGAAATATGTCCCTATGTACTCTTATGTACTGAATGATGGCCACAGTAGTCCGAAACATTTTTTCCCCTTGGCACTACAGTCCCAGTGGGCCTAGGCCTACCTCCATGAACTCCGTTCACTTCGGTTTTTCTAGATCTTACACATACGGTAGGACTCCTTGGGCGAGTGATCAGCTCGTCGCAAGGCCTCTAGCTGTAGACAAACACAGAAAAACGCACGCACACAAACTAAACATCCATGCCCTGAGTGGGATTCGAACACACGATCTCGGCTTACGTGTGAGCGAAGACAGTGCATGCCTTAGACGCTCGGCTACCATGACCAGCAGTCCGAAACATTAGTACATGTAAATATATAATGTGTCTATACCAAGATTGTTTGGACTAAGTAATAATAAACATATTCCTGGCAGGTTTGAGTAAAAGGGAAAAAAAAAGGTAACACTATCCCTGTAACAGGCCATGGAGGCCCAGATAGAGTTATGAGATGTTGAGGCTCCCACATTTTCTAGACACTTGACTCACAGATGGTAGTGAGGTTGTGAGCCTTACACTCCAGCTGCCATTTACCCCTAGGAATGTTCCTGATACCCTTTTCTGTTGGAGGCTGAGTCGACCCCAGGGCCATAATGTGGCTGGAAGTATTAGGTTAGTTGAATAATCCATTAACCTTATCGGGAATTGAATCTGTGACCTTATGGCTTGTAGCATAGTGCCACAACCAACTATGCTTCTGCATGCCCCTGGCAAGTTTGAGTGTATTCAGAAAGTTAGTTTGGATGACATGAAGGTCACACTCTCTTGGCGGACAAATTAAAACAAGTGTAGGCCTTTTGTGACGTTATATTTCCCAGTAGAGCTTCAAGTCATCTTACTGTATTCATATTTATTTCATACTTGGGTCTACTGTGAAGGTGACAGTTGGCATGTACACTGAAAATAATGATGATGATGATGATGATGATGATGATGATGTTTTCTTCATGAATTTGCTTGAAATTAACAGGAGGTGTATTTGATTGAGTTTATTAGAAAATGCCTTGTCGTGTTAATGGAGATGCGAAATCAAGCAGTTTAATATCCAGCCACCATATTATCGATGCAGACCTAAGAAGTGTCCATTCAGGTTATCCTGTCAAGTGGTTTCAGATTAGACACGTTTACTGAACTGGTTTATTCAGACATCTCATACATTCATGTTCTGAAAAAGAAACAAACTCTCCATGAACCAAGTCACATTCCATGAGAGTGATAATTTGTGTTCACAGGTGGAGGTCTGTCCAATTTGAGGCAGAATCTGCTGCATTCAAGCTGGAATTGAAAAATAACGGTGTAGTCAGAAGATCTAGTCAGGAAAGCGATGTAAGTACAGTCTTTTCTTTAATCTCAGGCCAAGCAAGTTGGTTCAAGCAGCAACATTTCTGACTTGTATTCTTGAGGTGCATTGTTCCATTCATAACTGGATACGAGCTGTCCTTACCCAGGCTTTTGTGGCTTTCTTCATTTCCTGTAGGAAGATGTTACCTTAGCTGCTGTCTATTGCATTCTTTTCAGCTCATTATTTTGCATCCTGTTGTTTGGTGCTGTGTGGTCTTGATGTACCAATAGTGTGTTTAACACTTGCGCATGTTGTACCGTCTAGATCGGTGGTTCTCAACCTTTGTGAGACCATGGCCCAGTAAATTCTTTTTTCGTAGGACGAGGGCCTGGTACCGGGTTGTGGCCCGGTGTTTGAGGAACACTGGCCTAGATTGTTTCAGGATATTTGTGGTACAACCATTGCAGCCAAAAAGATTGGCTCATTAATGAAATAATGTATGATTTATGTCCATTAATGGCCCCAGGTTTGATGTACAGTATGCGCTAAAATATACAGTACTGAAACTTGCGCATCTCCAGTGCACATGTGCGTTTGTCAACGGGGCATAGCTCCATCCGCATGTGTTCCCAGTAGTGAAAAGGAAGTTGTATTCTGCAGTTGTTGGAAATGGGTCTCTCTCGACAGAGGAAAAAGTATTCATAGTTTATTATTTATGCTCATACGGAAGTGGTCGCCAGACAACTGGCTTCCTTGATTTTGAGCAGCCAGATGTTATCGTCCAGAAACCGCTACATAGTACACGTGTGACAATATGGTGTGCTGTCTCAGCACACGGTATATTAGGCCCCTAATTCAGTGAGGATAAGGAAGGCAATGCTCTTACCGTCACCCAAGAACACTACAGGGACATGTCGATCAGACCATTTCTTCAGGATTTGAGAAGGTTATGTCATGCAAGGGGCCTTCACATGAATAAACAGTGGTCTCACCAGGACATCTTTTCATTTCAATACTAAATATTTTGGCGCATACTGTACTAGTTTTTAGAGGAATAACTAGGCTTTCAAATATTTCTGCTCCTGTATAAAGCCATGTAAGAATTCTGTGCTGTTGCATTTAACCCCAAGCTGCTTTGGCATTTTGCAGCAGGTAGTTCTGTGGCAGTGGTTGCTGGACAGAGGGTAAAATAAATAAGTCTCTTTTTCAGCACATGAAATATGAGTAGGTAATCTGTTGTGAAAACTCATACCAGCATTTTTCCACCTAAAGCCCAGCCTAGTAATTTCATATAATTGGTCGGTATTTGTAGGCCTTGTATATTCAGTCATGTTTTGACATGCCTTGTTCATAATATGCATCACACAAAAAGTTTACTTTTGTGGTTTAAATTCATTATTACAGTGAAACCTCACCAATTTGTAATTCATGATAATTCAGACTTTTTTTTTGTGCATTACGGCCTTGATCACATTGCAGCAATCAGTAGGATGTAGTAACAGAATGGTACAGAGGAGGAACAAACCGAAATAAGTTCATATTTTTAAACATGGTCTCAGTAATGCTAAGTATGTAGGCTGCCTAAAAATTTGCATTTTTATGTCATAACACGTAAATTTATTTTGTGGTATGCAGTCAGAGTTTGAAAATAAAGTTATATTGCCTAAAGAGACAGGTGGAGCCCATTTTATAACTTCATATTTTCAGTAGCACTTTTATAATTTGGGCTTCCAGTATTAGTGGCCTGTGAACGAGAAATGATATTGAAGGAAGTGGTACCAGCCTAATTTTAATGTTATCGTGGCATTTGCCATGAGGGGTTGAAGAATTTCATGAAAATTGTCTTGGATATCTGATCTCTGGGCTGAGATATTAACCTGAGATATCTCATATATGAAGCAGGAATGGTACCATTCTACCCGCAACATTTGGTAATTTGTGTGACACCTGTATATTCAAGGTGTGGTTTCATTCCCAGCTGTGAACATTTCTTTGAAGCATGTTGTGAAATAAGGTTGTAACTTGTGTTCTTTTATTAACCCAGTTTCTGCAGCCTGAATTTCTCTTTTGAAGCCATATTGAGGAAGATTTAACTTTATAGTTTATTTCTGTTCTTCTGTCATTGGTAACCCTCAAATAGACTTGGCTTCATTGAAGGTCATACATATAGAACCTGCCTTAAAATAGATTAATCTGTAAATAGGAATACAGGTCATACCTCTCAAAACCGGCATCCCATTGTCTAGCGTGAGTGGGTAGCCACTTCTTCTACTTATCATCTTGTACCAGTACATCTTAAAATTGTATGACAGCAGAAGCACTTACATTACTGTGATGTATTTAGGCGTTCTGGTACCATAATATTCATCCAGCAGTGGTTTCGAAAACTCTCTGGGCTGATGGGGGTCTATTTGAGAATAATGCAAATATCGTACTCCCATGTTTTAAGTTCCAAAATTGTTTTGAACCTTAGTGCATGCTTTTTCTGTAATGTTAGGTTGAAGATTTGAATGAGGACACAATCATGGCACGGCACGACCGGTGTGAAATGGAGGAGAAGAAGAAATTCATGAGTTACATCAAGCTTCCCCACAGTGGACGAGCAAGATCTCATCGTCGTGCAGATAGCAGGGCTGAGAGCAGTGGAGCGAACACTCCTGGTTAGTGATTGTACATATGTTCTGTAACTTCTTGTTCTTGCTACATGAGGCGAGATTTTGATGGTTATGTAATTTAGATAACTGTGAATTGTGTTGAATTATTTGAAGCACTGCAGTCTCATATTTATGCAGCTGAGGTAAGTAAGTAAAGGTATCTCTGCAACAGGTGTGGAGGCCCGTAGGGTTGTGAGATGTTGAGGCTCCCACATTTTCTAGACAGTTGGCTAACAGATGGCCTTAAGCGCTGGCCGCCGTTTACCCCCAGGAACATTCCTGGTACTAATTTCTGTTAGGGGCTGAGTGAATGAGGTACCAGTTCTATTTATATTTTATTAAAATGAACTGATGTTACTTTTCTTCAGTACAACTTTCATTTATATCAGAATGCTGTGCCATAGTGTGTGGGCTGCGAAATGGAGGCTCTTGTAACGTCATGTGTTTTAGCAAAAGCCTGATGTACAAATATTATGTGACTTAGTTTTGCCTTTGCGTAATACACAGCACTGCACATGGGACAGGCTTCTGCTCTGATTTACTTGCTTTGCTGTGCTCTACTCAACTCTACTATTACTTAGATCCGATGTCGCCGAATAATATGTTGGATCCACATTGTGAGGCTGGGGGCTCACCGCTTACATCGCCACCTGCCACACCTCTTGCCGTCCTAATAGACAGTGAAGCGATGTCTTGTCAGACAGTGTTGGGACGAAGGCGTACGATGTCTCAGTCTCGTTGGGCCAAGGACAGAGACCGGGAGAGGGACGAACCTCGCAGCAGCACTCCTGACTCTGTGATTGAGGTTGGTGTTCCCATTTCATTATCTGCTGTAATTGCTTTGTATCCTGTTTGATACACACAGGCATGAAGTATTCGTCCTGTACTTCAGTATGAAATCACTCCTCTGCCAAGGAATTTCAGAGTATAATGCAACATGTTATGGCCCTTTAGTGCCAGTTTTAGCAGATAGAGGGTGTCGCGTGGTCAGCGCAACGAATCCCAATGGCCGTTAACTTTGTTTTGCTAGACTGGAGCTGCTATTTCCTTGAAATAGCTCCTCAGTTATCGTCACAAGTCTGAGTGGACCCTGTTCCAGACCCACTGCACTGTCTTCGCCGACAAGCGGAGGTTGCTCAGTTGGTATAGTTCGCTTGCTGACTAAAAACCACAGTTTGATATGGCCCTTTTACGTGTTTTATACAGCTGTGTGAAATAGTGTTACGCCTTTTGACTTGTGTATGTTGAGAACAAATAGAAAATGTGGTTTGTGTTAAAGTGATTTGTTTCAAGAAAGTAACAGTGTTCTTGATACAGATATTGACAGAATTATCTCTAAATGCTTGAGGGTGTCTTTTACAGGGATACAAGGGGTTTCCAGTGGTTTTATTATTCATGTGGAGTAAATCTCTGATAATTTTACTTTGTTGCAAGGATTAGTAATAGCAAGAATCAAAAAGTAGTAAACAAAGTTCTTTTTTTTTTTAGGTTATATTTTATGTTGAGTATATTTCAATGTAAAGAATATATAAGACACTGTCCACTTTTTTTTTAAGTGTAATGTGATGATTGATTAAAAATACTTTACTGTTCATAGGTGCCTCCATATGAACTCAGAACATTTCCGCTGGTAGATGAAATGTATGAGAAAATGCTGAAGGCAATGCCAGAAGGGCACTCATTCCCACCTTATTCCATGGCACCAAAGAAGCTTTTCACCAAAGATAATGAAATGGTAACTTTACTTCGTGTCTTGCTGATATTTATTTTCTAAGTAAGAGACATCTTTAGTCTTTTGTGAATTCATTGTATAGAGAGGGCTGGTTTATTATAATATTCAGAATTATCGTTTACAACACCAAGAACATGTCTTATAAATGTTTTGCTCACCGTGTCAAGTGTGAGTACCAGAATATGTGTGTAATGAAAGTGGCTCTTGTTGGATATGTTGATGTTATTGTGACCGAATGGTACACGCAGTCTTCATGTAGTTTGGAAAGAGCTCACTGTTTCAGAGGAGTATATTGGCTCCCAAGCTGCTTGCTTCCTGCTTGACGTACTCTTCTGCCCTGAAATTGTCTGTCTGTGAACTACACAACAATACAAACCTGAGGCAATGACCTTCAGTTTGCTTATATTCTTTCTGTTCTCATATAGATTGTGAGTAGACCTGTCACCCCAAGTACAGACTCCACAGAATCAGCAGTGGGTGAGGGTGAAGATCCCAATGACCCTGAGTGGACACTGGAGGAAGAAAGGGAATTTGAACGAGAAAGATTGAAAGCCTCGATCAAGAGATAAAACTAAACCTGCTACATATGGCAGGCGTTAATTCAAGTTCCCAAGAAGTGGACCCTCTCTTGGACAGAGCTGGGCCAATGGGTAGAAGGTGGTGGAAACGAAACTTAGTCTGTTAGATCCAGTGTTATGGCACAAGTAACCAGACATTGTCCTGGTTCAGTTACGGGCAGCATAGATCAGTTTTTGTAACTCCGATTCTGCTACTAAATTGGTACGCCTCAGTTGATCCTTGCTTCACTTTTGTCAGTGATATTCCTTACTGTCAGAAATGTAGCAGTACAACTTTAGTAGCTTTCTTGAAAATAGTTTTGAAAATTGGCATTGTGCCATTTGTGCATTCAGAAGGGCAAATGTAAAGGAACATATTTGAAGAGATCTGTTGTAACTAGTGTAACTTTAATATAGGTACTGTAGTACATATTGTCCCACCATTAACTCTTCAGTTGATAAAGAAGGAAAAAAAAAGAGATGCAAAGGGGGTGCAGTTTGGTTGGAGGGATGTGGTATAGGTCCATTTTAATCTGTAAGTGCACTTTGCATGGTGTAAACTTGCTGTGGGCAAGCTGCCTGTTCTGTTGGTAGTTTGGTCACTTTGGCCTACTGGTATTAAGTTGGTTGATGTTACCATAATGAGAATAAAGAATTTTGTAATTACTGTTTCATTCATTTTTTCTGTTTCAGTTACATATTTTAACTGTGTGCTCTTTGGTTATATGTACTACTACTTCAGTATGACATAATACCACAATGATTTAGTGTTTTTGTATGTCACTGTCCGTCGCACGACGGCAGTGTGTCGACAGCTTTGTTAATATAATGCAGGTTCATGTTCTGTGTAGACGCGTTATCTTTTAGTATTGAACTTTATTCTTATTTTTTATATGTAGTTAAATCGGTTTCCTAGTCTGTGAAAACATTAGATGCTTTATGTATCCAGTTGTAATCAGATCTCTTTCCCTTTTATTTAAATAGTTGACCAGTAAGGTTGGGAACATTGTCTCTGTACTGATTTTAAAGTTTTGCCGTTGGTTGTACGTATTGCAGTTATGTTTTGACCAGCCATTGATGGGGCAGGCTTCCCATGTGTAGATGTCAATGTACTCTTTATAAGAGCATATTCTGTTTACTGTGTATCTCGCCTGCTTGGAATATTACATACATGCATACTGCAAGCTAACCATTCCATGGTAGTGTGAGAACAGGTGTCCCTTCCCATCTGAAATATGACCATACTGTACCATATTGGTTTTTAGCTAGGACTTGAAATTCATGAGACTGATCCTGTTGGTTGGCGCATATGAAGTGAGAGATGGATTGGTTGTGTGTGTGTGTGTGTGTAGGCATGACGGTGGTAATGCCACAGAGACTTGGAAGTGCACTCACGTTTTGTGAGGTATATATATGTAGTTAACAGATTTTGTATGCATTCTCCAGCACCAATACGCTTACCATGAAGATAAGTAAAAAAAAAAAGGAGCTTTTCCTCAAACAAGTTGTAATACACTTTCTCTGTTAGTTTTAATGAAATTGGAAATACAGCAGATTGAAAACTTACATTAGTTTTGTTTAAACCCTTGTTCTTTTTTTCGTTTGGTTTTAATAGAGGTACTGCAGAAATTTGTCTGAAGATTTGTTCTTTGAATCTGGAGTTCCCCACAAGAAGATTGAGAAGTGCACTTTATGATGTTACTGCTGTATATACTCATAGTTAGATAACGTGGCACTCGGAATGACAGATGTTTGCTACATTTCTTTTGTTAGGTTGCTGTGTCTATAAACTTTTGTACCAGCATCCAAACCCACTACGCAGTATTGTAATAAGTAACGGGCCATTTGTACGGACACTATCTTACACCTGATGTGGCCAGTCTGGCATATCAGTAAATGAAGAATGGTTTGAATGAAGTGTAAAGCAGATGTGTGCAAAGTTCATTGTTGGATATTTGTATTTTGTCTCAAACTGGAACTTCTCCAGAGAATAAACCCTAGAATAATACTCCTGCAGTGTCTTGGTACTTTATACTCTCATGGGCTCTGGGAACAGGAATGTAATCTTTGAAATAACAGTTTTAGGGAAGCTTTGTGACCATGCCTCCGTGCTATGGTTTGGTACTAAGTACTTTATAGCCAAGGCATGTTCTTTCGTTACTGACAAGTTATATCACCCTGCTCTCAAAGAAAATACGGTGAAACGCCCACTTTAAGGTGTGTTTGGATAGCAGTGGGGTTTGAACACTAAACTGAGAATCCAAGTGTTAAATTACCTCCAATTAACACTTGGATTAGTGATTGAGGGCAACTGAAATTGAACACCAAATGAGAGAAAATAAGGAATAGTAAATGGGGCTTGTGCTGTGTAAAGCCGGTTACATAAATACACATCATGTCAACCCAAAATGTGCAGCTGAGTTACAACTATTTTGGTAATAAATTATGTGAGGATGCATAAAAATGTAACTACAGTAAGCCCTAGCTAATCCAGTTACATTTATTTCGGATGTCAGATAATCCTGACTGAAATATGAAAAATGCTGTACACAGTTGAAAGGAAAAAGGTAAAGTTGTCCCTATGCTTAACTAATTAAGTACTGTGCCATGAAGGCAAATGGAGTGGATGTGTAGATTCACCTTTTCTTGACCTCTGCATTGGTTAGAGGTGAGTGATCAGCTTCATGCCCAGACTGCTTTATCCCCAAGGAAAAAGTCCGTAGTACCCGTTGGATAGGAGGTTGGGTGGGCCTCAGAGCCAGTGTGGATGACTTGAGAAAATTCTTAACCCTACCAGGACTTGAACTCCAAGCCCTCTGTCTAGCGTTTAGCCAGTTGCTGCACTGACTACACTATCTCGGCTGCTGTTCACAGTGGAACACATTAAAAGACCCTTAGCATTTATGAAGGCAAATGAGACTTTACGTGCCACAAAAGGTGCACATGTTGAAGTTGTTGAGCCATCTGCAGTATAGGTTCTAAAGCTAATAAAACTTAAATTAGTTATGCATTAATATTCCATAAGAAGTTTTATTTTGTTATTTCCAGTTAGAAAATTATACACCGTGGAAACCCTGGCAAAAATTTAGAATCATTCTGTACATTTTGTAAATTTTGTTTTGCCTGGGACTATCAGAATTTTTCACCAGTCAGGATTTTGCTGTATTTGGTACAGAATCTGAATATCCTGTTGAATTTCTAACGCATAGAAAACTGATGTTTACATGTTTCTGTGTGGTGAAGTATCATCACTGAAAGTGAAAGAAATTGCAAATGAAGTTTTCTGTGTTGGATATAATGCCTTGTAGTCTGACAGTCAGCTGACATTTCAGAGGAAGACATTGGCACCTGAGGATGGAGGTGTCATGTTCCTATGTAGCTTCTGTAGACTTTCAATGGAATACATGGTGTTATATCCTAGACTATAGAACTCTTCATAACCGCTGCTGTGAGAACCTCAACTCCTGTATTACAAGATGTTTAAAAACAGAGTGCTCTCAGGAAAATATATGCATTTAGGAAATAGGAATTTCATGATTTAAACAGGTGACCAGTGTAATCATAGTATTGAATTATAGGAGGCTATGGGTGGGGCATGTGGAATGGCTATTATGGGCAAGAAATTGTACAGAATTTCGGTGGGGCAGCTACCCGAGAAGCAGTGGAAGACCAACATTTCAAATGGATCGCAGGAATACATAAGAAAAGATAGGCGGAAATTGATCACAAGTATATTAGATGATGACCTTTGGTATTAACGTTGTTGAACATTCAGATTCTGTTATGTGGGAATCGATTTAAATTTCCTGTAACAGTTCCATTTTATGTTCCCAAGTCAGAGCTTTCTGTCTTCTAATTTTGTAGCTGTTCAGTGAAGATGGGCTCATGTTTTCAAAATCAGTATTCATTGGAAATGTCTGCAGCATGTGCCAGTCTCTGTGTACTGAAAGGCATTTGTCAACTGGAGTGGGCAATTGTAAAATGTCAGAATGAAGAAAATTAATTAGCACTTACATTACAAGAAGTGTCGCTTAGTAAATGGTATCAGTTCCATGCAGTCAGCAACCATTCTCTGTTTAAATGTTCTATAGTCTAGGTCTTTTGCTGTATCCTCCATAAGACTAGTTGGCTTATTTTTAATCACATTTTACTGACAGAGCATGCATCGTTTGCATGAATAACCTGTAACCACAAGATATGCTTTACCATTCATGGCTGTTACGGTCCCATTTGTACATAAAATGAACATTCTCCTGAAAAAAAAACTGATTGCATAATCCTTTTGAAAACTGAATAGAATTTTAACAAAAAAGTTTCATGCCAGATATAAGTCTTTGAGGCTTGCATAGGAGTATTTCCTTTGAAACTGTTTTCAGAGAAATAAAAAAAAATGAACAGCAATGCTAAGGAGCTTGCTTGCAGAGAAAATGGCCAGGCCATTTTAGATGAGATGTTGGCTTATATTGTATGTCAGTTGAACAATCTTGAACTTGAATTGGTTTTTATTGGTGAATATATTTTCATGCTAACACAGGTTAATGCATGTTTTTTTTATTTCGAAGTGGAGATTTAAAAAAATAATGAAATTGGATTCCTGAATCAAAACAGTTGTAAACGGCAGAAGTGAACAGTGTTGAACTTGAATTACATGTCTTTAAATGAAAATTAAATAGAATGAAAGTAAAGGAGTAACAAAAATGTAGGGTTACACAACCGTGAGGGATGAAACTGTTGCATTAAGTTGAGGGATGCATGCATTAGAAATCGCAGATCTGTTTTTAGAAATATTCTTGTTATAAATTCTTGTGATCGAAAGTGAGTTGTGTCAGTGATGAAAGTGTTGAAAGGCTGAGGTTTGCAGTGATCTCGGTGTCGGTAATGTCCTCGTCATTCTTATGACTACATTCCACCTGTTCAGGTTATATTGTAGGGTACACAGCTTGTGTGGTCCCCCCCCCCCAAAGAAATCAGCCTGAAGTCGTGCTCAAGTACGTATGTTAATTAGAGCACTGGTATAGAACAGTATAGGGACTTGCTACACGCTGGAAGGCCGAGAGGTCAGAGTTTGAGTCCCTGTAGGGACAAGATCTTTCTTCTGGGCTTTGGCGCCGTGTATATGTGGTGTTAACCGACGTTTCGGAGGAACGTATCGCCCCCATCTTCAGGGTTGAAGAAAAAGTATAGGTAAATCTGCAAGCGACAACACCGTGAGACACGGTAACGCACTCCCTTCCACGTTGTCCAGAGCGGTTCTGAGGCTCACCCAGCCTCCTATCCGGTGGTTACTGGGAGTCCTTTCCGTGGGAGTAAAGTGGCCAGGTCGTGAAGCTGACCACTCTAGCTAGTGCCAGGGTCAAGAATCTATACATCCACTCTATGTGACTACATTACTTAGTGCTTAATCAGTTAAGCAAAAAGATGGCTTTACCTTTTTGTCTTTTCATAGAAAGGAATAGTGTCACCCATTAATATAATTTGTTTGGATTATGATGGGTGTCATGATGCCATATTGATGGAAAGGAAAGGTGGTGAGCCCAGACTGGACCAGTAGGGCCCACTGTCCCATCCACAGTAGCCCAGAAAACGGTTGTTTTCTCACAGTTTCCAGTGCTCTGTTTCTGTTGGCCACAATCAGGCTCTTCCTGTATAACCTGACTGCATTCTCACTACTCCCAGCCCAGAGGATATTAGTCCTCAGAAAACAGTATCCACTAACATGACATCATGATGTCACAACCAAGATGACCATAATGTGAACACGCACTTCCATATATTTTGAGTTTGCATCTGTACCTGTCAGCCTTGTTAATCCAAGTAAACATGTTTTGTATGACTTGTTATTAATGATGCACCAGAAGATGGGAAAAGAAAATGTGAACTTATTGAGCCTTCAAGTATGCTAATGACCACACCTCTACATTGTCTATACATACATTATAGTGTTTCAGACCTCATGTCTCACTTAACAAATGTGTATTACATGGTTGTTTAATAATTTATGTAAAGAATAGCTCAGTCAGTACAGCACCTAGGCTACATGCTGTATGGCTGAGGAGTCAAGGTTTGATTCCTGGTTGGGGCAAGAGATTTTCCTCATGACGTACAGACCGACACTGGAGCTTACACAGCCTCCTGTCCAGCGGGTATGGGGAAGGGGGCAGTTTCCCTCATAATAAAGTGGCAAGAGCGTGAAGCTGACTGCTAACCGCTTGAATATGATCATTTATTTGTTGTGTGGATTTTACACGCACAACAGGATGTAATCTATAAAGTTCACTAACTACCATCTAACACTGAGGTTAAGAATGGCAGAGCTATACCTCCACTCCCCCGTATTTTTACTAGGAGTGGTGCTTAATTCATTAAGCTCAGGGACAACTCTTGCTTTAGTTTTTATCAAATTTTACAGCTGGTTTCATGCTTAGAGAAACTATATATATATATGTGTGTCATTCATGTGTAGTCTGTTTTTAAACTTTACAAGAATCAAATGCTAGATAGCAGCACACACACCTTATGTAAAACAGAACCAGCCCATCTTAGGGAAAATTTATAACAGTTACACACGGCACAGATAACAAATACTAATACATGTTGGAGCATATAGGAGGGCATATCCCAAAAATTGAACTTCATGAATGGAAGCATCAGAAATTTTGTGGACAATGTTGGTCAAATTATGTAGTGTGCATACACCAGTGGTGTAGAAGAGATTTTCATGTTTGAAGGTTTTAAGAAACAAGTTTGCATGCTGGACAGCTAATAAGTAACAAATAGAATGACAGTCTTTTTTATGGTTTACACCATATTTTGAAGTTATAGTTTGCAAAATATCAGGTATTAAAACTTGCAAAGAATAATGGCAGTTTTGCTGTATGGCTGTGGAACATGGTCTGTGACAAAAAGCTTCTTTTGCGTTAAATACACAAGAGAGGAAAATTTTGAGGAAAGCATGTGGACTTGTAAGTAACCAAAGGACTTAAGGAACTGTACAAAACCCTGGATCCTGTAACTTAGAAGGCTGAAGTGGTTGGAGTATGTAATTGGAATAGATTGAACAAGGATAACTATGCAGAAGGGAATAACATTGGGAAGTCCTAGACTGAGATGAATGCTTGCTACCATTCAGTCCAGAACCTTTTGTTGTCTCGTCTGCTGTCCAAACAGATAAATATTAGAATATACAAAACTATAATTTTGCCTGTGGTTCTGTATGGGTGTGAAAATTGGTCTCTGACATTGAGGGAGGAACATAGACTGAGGGTGGCTGAGGAGAATATTTGAACCGAAGAGGGATGAAGTGACAGGAGGTTGGAGAAAACTGCATAATGAGGAGCTTCATAACTTGTACTCTTCTCCAAGTATAATTAGAATGATCAAGTCAAGGAGAATGAGGTGGGCAGGTCATGTAGCGTGAATGGGGGAGACAAATGCGTATAGGATATTTGTGGGAAAGCCAGAAGGAAAGAGACCACAGGGAAGACCAAGGCATAGGTGGGTTGACAGTATTAGAATGGATCTTGGAGAGAGAGGATGACATCTGATGGATTGGATAGATTTGACTCAGGATAGGGACCAATGGCGGGCTCTTGTGAACACGGTAATGAACCTTCAGGTTCCATAAAATGCTGGGAAATTCTTGAGTAGCTGCAAAATTGGAGGCTCCTCCAGAAGGGCTCAGCTCCATGAGTAAGTAAGTAGACTGAGATGGCTTGAAGATCAACATGATCATTTATGAGAGTAGCAAGTGAAAAGGTGGAGGCAGAAGGCAGAGGGATAGAAATGGGTGTACAGCATGTAAAGCAGGTTACAGTAGCCTGTAGAGCCAAGGAGTAAGTAAAAACAGGCCAACATGTCCTCGTGCCATGAAGGTGGGAGGGGGGAGCGAAGGAAATTGCGTCCCCAAATGGAAGTGAATGTTGTACTCCAGTTCACTTAACCCATGGTACTCATTTGATAGTAAACTGGCTGAACCCTGGCTGCAAAGACAGAAAAATTTGTCCCATACCAGGAGCTAAACTGTTCATCCAATCCGCAGCCCTTTTTTTGCAGAGTTAGCTGAATAGAATGCAGACATGAAGTGTGAATTGGAACAGATTCCGAGTGTGGCCCTCGGATTAAGGTTCCCCACCCTACTGACAGCCGGGCTCTGCCTGCGCCTGCGGAACTACGTTTATTTTTACAGCTACGACACTTAGTTGAAAACCAGCGGGGGATGGGAGACTGCCCTTGTTAATGCGACGTAAGGAAAGTGGCATCTTTAAAGGGACAACACGGTCTAATGGCCGTGACGCCAAGGCTCCAACTTGTTTCTCTCGTTTTTGCATCTTTAAAGCCTGAAGTACGAAGATAAAAGCGATTTGCATCTTGTGAGTATGAAGACCTCGAAAAAGAGGTTTTATTCTAAGGTAAATGAGTTGGATTCTATAAAGACAGCGTTTGACGTAATGATTTCGAGACCAAGTGATATTCATATGAATTCATTTTATTTTGACTGCTTACTCTAATATCTTCGTTTTAATGTATTTTCTTGTTTGGGTTTGATGTTATCTTGACGCAGTAGGCCTACATGTCCAGCTCTTAATAAGAGCTGTTCATGAATTCAGTAACAAAATTTGCACATTTTGGTATTCGTTCAGATTTACCTTCACATCAGCGATTACAGGGTGGAAACATTTTTTTAATTAGTTATACTTCTTAGTGGTATTAAGAGGGATTTTCCTATAATCCCCTTTCTCGAAACCAAACAAAAAGAAACTCCGTGGCTTTAGTCCGCAAGGGAACTATACCGACTGAGCGACCGCCGCATGTCGGCGAAGTCAATGCCAACTTTTGCGGATACAAGGTGTCGCGTGGTCAGAGCAACGGATCCCCACGGCCGTTAATCTCGGTTTTCTAGACCGGAGCCGCTACTTTTCCATTCAAGTAGCTCATCAATTGTACTCACGAGGCTGAGTGGACCCCGTTCCACTACTCAGAAAATCTGGTAGCGCAGGGAATCGAACTCGGGACCTCTGGATCTGAAGTCAGGAACTCTGACCACAGAGGCGGTTCTTCCCTTTAACCGCTAGTTGAAATTAATTTTGTTGTAAATTTGTTTTCTCCTGCAAATTGTGCTTGGGTGCCCATCGAGTAGAATGACAGGGCTCGAATCTTATAGTCTGAAGTTTTCTTGATGTAAATGCAAATAATTAAAGCCCCCAAACGTATAATATTAAATTAGAATATGATATAACAATTTAAAAATATACGTGTAATTAAGTCTACTGTTATATGATGTAAATATGTTTATCGTTTCTCCTCTCCTCTCCATGACGCCTGTACGTGCTCTGGCGCCCACACAACCTCCTATGCAACGTGTACCGTGGGCTTTTTCTCCGGGGTAAAGCAGCAGGGCCGTGAAGCTGCCCACTCCCCTCCATCTAGTGCCGAGGTCACCATACGCCTTCATGGCGTGATGCTTAATTGATTAAGCACAGGGACAGTTTTGCCTTACAGTTGACACGTAACGTCTGCGAGTCGGCGTGGTCCTAAGCCCAGGAAAGTCGATTGCTATTTGTAATAGTTTTTTTAATTGTCAGTATGTTTAATTCAGCACTACGCCATGAAGACGTATGGGGGAGCAGAAGTATAGCTCCACGCATTCTTAACCTCAATACTAGTTGGAGGTCAGTGGTTAGCTTCAAGCCCCGACCGCTTTGCTCTCTTTTAAAGAGCCTCCGATGGCCACTGAACCTCAGGGGCGGTCCGGACACTGCGGAAGAGGGAACAGTCTCTGTTTCTGCCATGACATAGGCCATTATACGATTGAAATACAACGGATCCTATATTATCAACATCTCTTTAATTAAATCTGACATAAAAATTCAAATTTACGGCTTTCTGTTCCCTATCTGCTCACACTTTATTTTGCTGACCAGTCCTGTTTATATTTGAATTATGGAAAAAAATATTATTTGAAAATTGATACATTTAATTCACACTGCGTCTGTTCTGTCTATTTAGGTAATTTTCAGTTGTAAATAAACATGACACCTAATGGCCGGAATGGCGGATTCACAGGAGACGTTCGTTGCTAGTCAACGGCTCGCTAAACATATTCCCGCGGTGACTGTTACGCGTACAACAATAGAGGAACTCCTGGTAACGGCTTCTAACAATAGAGATTCCTCTGCTTCCATCCCGCACTGAAGTAGAGAAATCTATAGTTAGACGGCTTTACCCAGCAACGATCAATGAAAACGTAACAAACTGAGAAGACTTAGTGTGTGTTGTAGTGATTTGTAGAGTGTGTAGATTAGCCGATGTGGGAACTGCCCACATTCAAGCCAGCGTTATGGTGACAGCTCAGGTACCATTGCTTAGCAACGGCGAGTATACAGTCGTTGTTATGTAAGGTCTACAACAATATGTGACTATGGAAAGCACCCACAGTGGATCGAATGCTAGCCACTAGCAAGTTAGATACCATTCGCTGCCTAGCAACAATACGGACAGTGACATGTTTTCTGTAGGTCCGACTCTAGTTTATATAAAAAGATACATGCAGTTCTAGTTCAGAGTTGTGTTTCAGTGCAACGTTAAAAGTGTCACAGAGTTCACTGTTGTTGTTATTCTTGAATCCATTAAACTCAAGTTCGTCTGTGTAATAGAAGACCTCCTGCAACAGTGCGTAACGCAGATGCTGAACCACGTACCAGACCCCTTTGAGAAATGAAAAATAGTTTTTGACAAAGGGGAACAAGTTTTACTTTAATATTACAGTCGATTTTCAAGACGCTACATAATCCGGTGATTGTAACGTTTGAAAATAGGTCTAAATTCGATCTCCAATTGTTTTAATTATACAGACATTTGGAAATCAGAGATTATTTTGATGAAGACTTCTTATGAAAACCGGTACTGACAATACCGTGTAGCACGAAGTTCACAGCTGTGCTTGCGCAAAATCGCTACCGTGCTGCCATCTCTGGGAGTTACGATAAGTTCCTGAATATAGTGCAAAAGGATTGCTTGCAAAGCTTATAGTACACGGCGGACAAGGTGACAGTATATTCGACGGCAGTGCTTGGCTTGAGGTTACATTATGGCTGGTCTTCTGTTCATTGTATGTATACCCACAAGCAAACAGGAAGTTAATCTGAACGAAAGCTCGCAAGGGAAAAATATTTCTTCAAATACTTTAAATGAAGACTTCATTCAAGAATTTTCAGATAGAAAATCAGAATCGTTACATAGTTTGAGAAAAACAATTTCAGCATCAGACAGTCTGTATGAGACAGATGATACAAGCGTTTCTTATGTATCTAAAACACCAAAGGATTCAAGGGCAACATTAAACAGTGACACTGCTCTGGACAGAAATGTTACGAATAATACACGAACAGACAGTAGAAGCGACGGGTCAAGTGAGGTTGCAATAAAAATTGAAGAATCTAGAAGTAATGAAGAGTTAACCAAAGTTGTTACGAAGAAGAATGCATCTGAAAGGGCGAAGGAAAAACGTGAAAGTGTGATGCCAATGGAAAAGGTAAGCTGGCACAATAGTATCAGTATGTCATAATGCGTTTCTTTGGAGTCGGGTTTAAAATTAATAGTTATTCGATAAAATTTAATAATCCAGTAATAATATTCAGAAAAGATTATTAATTAATCTGTTCTAATCTAGTGCCGAGATCAAGAATGGTGGAGCTATACCTCTATTCCCCCAAACGTCTTTATGGCGTGGTGCTTAATTAAATAAACACATGAACAAATTTATCTCTTTAACATGTGCTTTTTGGAGTCTCGTTTAAAATGTATGATTATTCGATACAATTTAATAAGCCAGTAATAATATTATGAAAATGTTGTTAATTAATCTGTTCTAATGGTCATTTTTATCTTAATGTTCTTATAGATTATTATTATTATGCTTTGTTAATACGTAAGATGCTTGTGACCTAAATGCAAAATATCTGTACACTTACCAGCCAACACTTCTAGTCTGTAGAGGGGGCTGGTAGTGAGACACACTACATTAGGGGGAGGTAAGAATTTTTGTTTTTATTTTCGGTTTGAAGGTTCTCAGGCACTGCCCGCTTGTCCTTCTGGTATAGGTAGAGCATATGATCGGTTTTTCTTTTTTTATGACGCTGGAAGAGGTGCATTATAGTAACATTTTAGCTAATGTTCTGAGGGCCATATTAGGGCGAAATTTTGACGTTACCAATGGGAGGACTGCTTGTGAGGCATACAGTGCAACTTGGAATTTGGGTACCAACTCAGCATTTGCTCTAGGATGGAAGAGAACCACGGAAAACCTTGATCTAGTTGGCACATCGCAGGACCTTCCGGATGCAAACTGACTTCTAGCCAGCAGTCCGGCATTAAATACGCGAACCCTAACATTAGGTCCTATCTGGTTGTTGCTTTAATTTAAGAAAATTTTACATAAATGTTTCTACAGATTTGTTGTGTGCATATTTTTGTTGAGCATCAATCAACTCTGTAATTTCTCTAAATAATACTTCAATATTCAGTCTATACCTCACAGGAAACGCATTACGTCTCTGCTACAAAGCCCAACCGGTTAATGCTGTTTCGGGAAACAGTCGCTGTTTATTGTGAGAACCATACGGAACACACAGATACACTCTGTGGGCAGAAAACTCAGTCCGTACCTCACACGAAACACATTACATCCCCGCTACAGAGCCCAACCGGTTAATGCCGTTTAGAGAAACAGCCGCTGTTTATTGTGAGAACCATACGGAACATACAGATACACTCTGTGGGCAGAAAACTCAGTCCGTACCTCACAGGAAACGCATTACGTCCCCGCTACAGAGCCCAACCGGTTAATGCTGTTTAGGGAAACAGTCGCTGTTTATTGTGAGAACCATACGGAACATACAGATACACTCTGTGGGCAGAAAACTCAGTCCGTACCTCACAGGAAACACATTACGTCTCCGCTACAAAGCCCAACCGGTTAATGCTGTTTAGGGAAACAGTCGCTGTTTATTGTGAGAACCATACGGAACACACAGATACACTCTGTGGGCAGAAAACTCAGTCCGTATCCCACAGAAAACAATAGATTCACCTTTAGAATGATCAGACTCTTATTGTTGTTTATGGAAATATAGCAGTTTGTTCTGGGAACGTAAATACAGTGTACATACGAGTAATGCAGAGTTTTCTAATGTTTACGCACAGTAACCAAATTACTACTTTAAAGGGTTAGCATATTTATAAATCACTTCTAAAGGGCCCTGATAATATTAAGTCGCGTTTACGACGCTGGAGTATCGAATGATGTACAAAGTCCAAAAATCAACGCTAAGATAATTTTGCTGTTATATCAACACAACTTCTGTGTTTCTTCAGTAGTCTGAATTCGGTGACTGATCGGGTTAGTTAACCCCACATGAGTTAGGTTAGTTTATGTTTCCTTTTTCGATTTTTTTTTTCTCACTATGGCCTCCAGACCGCCTCTGGAGCCCACCCAGCCCCTTATGCAAGGGATATCGGGGGATTAAGCGGTCCGGGGCGTGAAGCTGACCACTCACCTCCCGTCTTGTGCCGGGGTCAAGAACGGTGAAGCACTCTCCCACATGGCTTCAACTCAGGGACACTTTACCTTTACCATTTATTTTTTGTTGTAATTTATTCCGTGCATGAAACGTAAGCAAAACATGAATCCTGCCGCAAATTTGGTGCGGCATGACGCGATGTGAATGTGCGCTAGACACGCTTTCTGTATTTTAAAGCCGTCTTTTTGTGTGAATTATTTAACAACATTGCTATATGGTGGAATATTTGAAAATGTATTACACCAGGTAAACTGAACCAACTTTATCACTTGAACAATAAATACCGGTATTAGAAATAGTACGTAATATCTGTTTCTTATGAACAATTTTGGAACTGTACAGTGAAATAGCCCTATCTCGGAAACCGTTCGCAATAGGACACATGTACGTGTACACTTATATACTATGACCTCCCAGAATATTGACCTTTCCTCCTGGGACACTGTATAGTCTGGCTACTGAGAAAGTTGTTAACTAACCTGCCAAAACAAAAGGACGCGAACATAAACAAATGTTATTAAATTGACAGTTGTCATTTCGTACGTTGGTTTTAACTGCTACATTTCCCACGCGTAAGAGAACCTTCCTATCACATCATATTCGGCAGCTCCAAACCGGGGCAATTTCTTATGGCAAGTAAAGGTCATGGCCCTTCAGCCCCCTCCCCGAGACTCTGCGTGCAGAAAATGGCCAGCAAGGGGTAGGGGTAGCCACATACGTCAGTCATAGGAGGTGATGGTAAGAATTTGACCAGTCAGAAGAAATGCCTCCTACTATAAGTAAACCAGTTACACTTTACAGTGCCTTCCATGAATAGTTAACAATTTTCAACCGCCAAGAAATTCCCTCCTATTATGGAACCCGCCTAGACAGTCAAGCTTAGGATGTTAGATGATTTAGAAAGGGTTGGGAAAGAAGCGGCCATGGCCTAATGAAGTTACTGTCTGTAGGAGCTGAGGAAAACCACGAAACATGTCAGTGAAGATAGCCGGTGATCTGGCCAAGATTAGAACCGAGTACCCTCTGAATACGAGCATAAATCGTTACCACTGCGCATGTCCGTTCCGTGTCTCTCCAACATTATATTCCCCTGAAGAATTGAAGGCTTTCTACCAGACTACACGGCGTCCCATCCTGGAGGACCATAGTATTTTCCGTGGCATAAATTTCTCTTATTTAATAAGCGGAAATTCTTTCACTCGGAGACATAAAGGATAACTCAGAAACTAAAGGAAAATGATCTGTTCATATAATGCTGACCGCCTCTGTGGTCTAGTGGTCAGAGTTCCTGGCTACAGATCCAGAGGTCCCGGGTTCGATTCCCGTCGCTACCAGATTTTCTGAGAAGTAGTGGCTCCGGTCTAGAAAACCGAGATTAACGGCCGTGGATATCCGTTGCCCTGACCACGCGACACCCTCTATCCGCTAAAGTTGGCACTAACTTCGCCGACAAGCGGCGGTCGCTCGGTTGGTATAGTTCGCTTGCGGACTAAAGGCCGTGGAGTTTTTGTTCATATAATGCTGATCTTCCAGAAAATTCCTGTCAAAAACGGGAAAGAATTAAGCACAGCGGACAACCACGTGTATTACAGAATATCCTGGTCTAGTAGGTTACTGAGAAACGGAAATCCCAGAAAGTCTTTATACATACTTTCTCGTATATGCTGGGCGCATTGCCTCCATAAAGTAAAGCTATCCCTGTAGTAGGCCGTGGAGGCCCATAGGGTTGTGAGAGGTCGAGGCTCTTACATGTTCTAGACAGTAGACTCACAGCTGGCGGTGAGGTTGTCAGCCTTACGCACCAACCGACCGCCCTTTACCCCCAGGAAGATTCCTGGTACTTATTTGTTTTAGAGGCTGAATCGACCCCAGGGCCATAGTGCGGCTGGAAGGATTAGTTCAGTTGAAAAATGTAGTGATCTCATCTGGAATCGAGCCCTCGAACATCCGACTTGTAGCATAATACCTCATTAGATCGTTAAAATAGAAACAGTATTGGTCAAGTCGTTTTTAAGACAATTAGCATTCTGGGTTTGTGCAGCGTAACGTTTCTGAAGATACCTCCCATGCAGTTTTGTTTAGGAACACGTTTTCCACAAATCAGTGACATTTAATCGGAATTGTTCGAACCGTTTTCTTTTTGGGTCCTGCCTGAGGTGCCCCTATTTTTGGAGCTAGAATGTTCATGTTTATTAAGCATCGATCCCAAGATGATTTGGCTCTTAAACACTGTATAACTCGTTCAGGCCATAGCAAAGTGCACATCCGCTCATGCATACTGTCATATTTTAGGTGCGTGACTATAGACGGGGTTTGGATTGGTGAATGGATTTATTGAGCACTTATACACACGACTCGGAACTACAAGTAATTATATCTCCATTGCTGATTTCCACACTTTACAACTTACCGCACGCTAAGTCTTCTCCAGCCTGCACTGTCTTCAACAGCCGTTTCCTGGTAACGGATGTTAACAGTGGAGATTTTTCAGTTTCCCGCATTCAAGTCCTTCCTTCAAGATTCCAGTATAGAATTGCATGCCAAATATCAACTGACGAATTTTCCAATCTCTCTCCTATCCATGCAGGAGTTCCCCAAGGTAGTGTGCTAGGCCCCCTCCTTTATCTCCTCTACACCAATGACCTCCCAACTTCCCCCTACACAACTACTGCCACCTTTGCTGATGACACAGCTATATTAGCCTCCGACCCTAATCCAGTCACTGCATCCCTCAAACTTCAAAACAATCTCAATTCCATAGAAAGCTGGCTCTCACTTTGGCGACTAAAAGCAAATGAAACTAAATCCTATCACGTCACATTTTCCAACCGCAAAGCTACGTGCCCTCCTGTCTACCTCGGCAATGAGCCTCTCCCCCAAACAACTGAAGTCAAGTACCTTGGATTCCATCTTGACCGCCGCCTCACGTGGAAAAAACATATCTTCAACAAAC